CATGATCATTATGCCTTCATCCCAGTTTTACAGCTCGATGTGAGGTTTTGCACCAAAACAGTTCAGGCTCAACCTTACGTTTCTTCCTTTTGTCTCAAGTTTGTAAAGCAGAGGACTGGAGCAAACAGTGTGTTGTGTCTATAGCAGCTGCCTATGGTTTCCCATCTTGGAGCGCTGGAGATATTGATCTTTTAATCTGCTACCAACAAGAGTTATGGATTAGTTTGGCAGGTACCCACTGGCAAGTCTGGCCACAGCACAATGGTTTGTAGCCATCTTCTGGAAAAGTGGGTCTGCTGGGGATCTCTGGGGAAGTAAACTGGAGAATTTCTACCAGCTTCTGCTGTTCCCCTGCTCTTCTGGGACACCACTCAAGGCTAAGGCTGAACTAAGCTTTTTCCTGGGCTCCAAATTTAATATGTACCTGTTTGTTGTTGTATAGTAATCTTCAAGCATCAGCCTCTTACTGAAAGAAGGATTACTTGAAACTGTCCCATGCTATGAATTTGATTGCTACTCGGTTCAAAGTTTTAAGTAGAACTGGTAGTAACTATGTAGGTAACAGATTCTGCTTGCTTTATTCTTCACAGTATTTACAGGCATAAGGAAGTTTGTATGTCAGGAGCTACTACTTCCATGACATATTCAATGAACACACTTCTGACCCCACCCCTTATGATAGGAGACCTTGAATTTTAAGAATTTGTTTTCTTTTTTGTCAAATTATTTATAACATATAGCATGATTCAAATCAATCCTGCAGATGTTGAGGCAGGCTAGATGGTTTCTAATGTCTGTTTGGGGTCCCAGCTCCTGTGAGAGTTTCCATGCTTTGGTTTGATGACTTCCAAAACCATGTAAAGCTTCCAAAGAGAAGCAGTGAACCCAGCCTTTGTTAAGATATGCGTAAAGGTAATTCCTGCAATGTCTGTTTTGGACATTGTCTTCAAATTATTCCTAAGCATATGTACAATTTATGCTAAACAAAATAATAAGTATTTGTAAATATTATTTGTTGGGTGCATTGCTTTAGCCTTAACATTTGATGAAATTAAGGAATAGCTGTAGGCTCTTGATGAAGTGAAAGATTTTAATCTGAAATGTGAACTAAAGTATTAAGAAGTAAGTAGTCATTTCAATGAACCACTAAATCCAGAAAATTAAATATAAATAATATTTCCCAAATATAACTTCCTATGTCTATTATGTGTATAGCACATAAAACCTAAGGCTGTAGTCAGATGTTGTTGACTAACTACTTAAGCACAGAGAGATATGTGAAAGGTTTTCTGGATTTCCTTTTTTTCCCTTCAAGTGTAATAGTTTCTCTTTGACCATTACCTACCAATTTTGTTTTCCCCTTCTTCCTCATGGAAACCTGTACCTGTCTGCGGGTCTGCTGACCATTTGTGATACAGCAATAAAGGTGTTTTACTTACAAAGATGGTGCAGGTCGTTTAATCCTCACAGCCGTCACCTCTCGGTCACTGTCTTCTTGCTCGAGTTTGTCCTCTGCTTCCCCATAGCCACTGTCCTGTGCATCCAGGCTGTCATCATGGCACTCAAGCAGCTGTTCTTCCTTTGCCCCCTCTTTGTCCTCTTCTTCTATCTGTTTCCAGCCCTTGGTCAGCTCTGATACCACGTTTGAACACTTTCTCCTCATGGTTGGAGACAATTTGCTATTCAGAATTTTGTCAATAGCACTTGATTCTTCTCTGAGCTTGGTCATCTCTAAGCTGTTGCTGTTGTTCTCATATCTTCGACTGAGGAGGTTAACATCACCTCCTCGTTCATAGGCTTTGCTTACAACTGTTTTGGTCACCTCTTTGCTTTTAATGCTGAACTTTTTGAGGGCTTCCTCTGATTCCCTTGCATTTTTTTCAGCATCTCTTATTGTTACCAATTCCTTTGCTGAGGATTTTTCATCATCTTTTCCTTGGTCCCTCTTGAGAGATGGAATTGGCCATTTTTCTACGGATATTTCTTGTACAGGCTGAGTTGATGAGTCTTCTGCAGGGGGGACCCATCCTGGAGGCTCTTGGACTTGCTTTACATGGTGGTCAGATGCCCACTGCTGCCAGCCTCGTGCCAAGCTGAAGACCAGGCTGGCCATTCGGATCTTGTGGACAGCCCTTTTCACAGGAGCAGTGCTAGGCTTTTCTTCAGGAGCCATGGTGCTGTCTGCTGCCATGCTGGCTTTCCTTCTTCTTGTGCTAAGCACCTTCTGAATGAACTTCCTGAAGTGAATAATGTCCCATGAAGAGAGCCACAGAGATTTAAATAGAAGCTGGAGCGGTTTGTACCAATGGAAAATATGTGAAACACTTCTCACAAAGATATAGTATCCTCAAAGCTAAGAAGATCTTTTTTTAAAACGCAGGATTACATTTCATCACAGCAGATGACTGATGCATGATGTAAACAGGGTGACAGAGACCTGTGCTGGAAATAGTGGGAAATTAACAGCTCCTTTAGCCCCCCTTCCTTTCCTTTCCCTGGGGCTGCCCAATTCTCAATTTGTTGGCAAGTGTCTTGTTGTTCTGCAAGCACAGAACCTGGGTCAGAGATACTGAACAGAGAGTCTGAAACCGATAAATGTGAGGTGCTGTCAGCTGCTGACAGCTTTGGCCAGAGTAGGGACCCCTCATCACCACAAAGAAATAGTGGCCCTCATCATGGAGCGTAAAGCCAGAGACAGACTATGATGAATGAGGAATTGTTAGATGCTTTTTCTAAAAAGTTGCTAGGTGATTTCTTCTTATGGCTCGTATGTCCAAGGATATCCAGGTTTATTAATTTTTTAAAAGGTATTTAAGTGCTGTGTTCCCAGTCATTATCTATTAATACCTGTCTATTTCGAATGTACCTCCAGAGGGGTCTGGGAACACTATCGTGTCTGGTGTCAGACCTAAGGATAAGGGAATCACTATCACTAGTCTGAGGATTAATACAATAAGTCTGATTTGATCAGATGGATGAATGCTTTCCTAATTTTAGGTTTTGAAAAAAGGACGTGTAGCCTATTTAATTCCTGACTGCCTTTCAAGGTAGTTGTATATAAAGCTTAGTGTTTACTTGTGTATTATTTACAGTGTAATTATATTTAGTACATACAGTATAGGAAAAATATGATTTCCTAGGAAACTTTTTGATTTCTTCATTTCTGGAGGGTGTCCATATTTCGATTTTTAAATTCTTTAGTGAATTGATACATCAATTGTTACTTAATATGAAATATTTTCAAAGATACAATCCTGTGGTGCCTTATTTCTTAGTATAAAGTTTCCTAAATAGGAGCGGAAGATGGCATTGCTTTTTCCATCCATCATACCTTGCAGCTTAGAGGATGACATGCAGCACCTGCCACGTGGCACTCCAGGGCACATTGAACTTCAAGGAATTCTGTTGGCTTCATTCCACCAGAGATAAATATGGCCCCATGGTACTCTGCCTTTTTCTTCTCTCTCTATTAAAGGTTAGGCTCTTTGAAGTAGGTTAGATCATATCTAGCTTTTGTTTAATTATATAAAACTATATCATACCTTTGACTTCTAGAGAGAATTGCTCATTAATCTGTGGGGTCATTTCCTCTTCAAAACTGATGACGTAATGTAAGTTAGTGTCGTTATTTGATATTTACTCATACTTCTATTTTAGAAAGTAATCTATCACCTCTGTATATTGTCTCAGCTATTACCAACTGCATCATCATTCTGAAATGGCATTGTGAGGTGTACTGATGCAATTTGATTAAGGAGCATGTGTTACCAAACATATTTATTGTGGTAGCTCTTTAAGGCTAATCAGGAATGTGAGAGTCTTGTGTTTAAGAAGCAAACATGGGCATGCATAGCTGCAGACAGGGTGGTGCATGTTCCCTAATACACAAGGGAGATGCAAGTGAAAGAAGAGAATAATACATGTGCAGGATAGGAGCATCACACCAGCTTGTAGTATCATTTTGTGTGATTTCTTGAGTGGCCAAGGCTTTAGGAATGAGCTGAAGTGAAATACAGTAGTAAGAGGCAAGGCCAGGGAAGAAGTGCAGTGAAACTTCAGTGCAAATACTGTGGAAGGACATTCAGGGACTGTAAGACCAATAGGGACCCATGTCCTAAGGTAGGATCAGCTCTGCCTGCATCTGTTCAGGTTCCTGTTTTACCTGTTCTTAAAAACCACCAGCAGAAGATACTCCCCACTCTGCCCAGGCAATCTATCCCAGGGGTTAACTGGCCTAAATGAAACCTTCTCTGGTGTCTGACCTCCACCTCTGTCACAGCACTTTAACTCTGTCACTGCTGAGAACAAACCCCACCTTTTTCGAGGCAGCCTTTCTTGGCACATATTGCTGTGTTCCTCCTCAGTCTTCTTAACAACCTCACTTCTTCCCAGCTTTTCTGGTGTTTTCATGATCCCTGATCATGCTTTTGCCAGCTTCTGGATTCCTTACACTAGGTCCACATCTTTCTTCAAGTGTGATGCCCAAATTTGGGATGGTATTCTGGTTTAGGCTTGCCCATACTGAGTAAAAGGAGCAGATGTATTGTGCGTTGTGCTCCTGGTTCATATTCTACTTGTAATCCCCAGTTTCCAAAGACATTCCTGCTAAATGGCTCTCTGTAGTCACTCCTTCAAAGAGACTCATCTTTTCTAATGGACTTGACCTTGGTGTACTGGCCATAGTCCCACAGACTTAATGCTTGCATAATTTAGATAAATGACAACGAAAAGTTACAGACTAACAAAACCCACCAAGTTTATAGTTCTAAACTACTACTAAATCCATGTTGCATGATAATATGTCAGACAAATGTTTAGATTAAAATGGTCACTATTTTAAACTAGAGTTACAACATCACAGACTTGTCCAAAGTGGAAGTGAATCTTCAACGTAATTATTCTGAGGACAACTAAATTTATGATGCTTAATTTTAGGGTGTACAATGATGCTGCCTTGAAAGCGTTGAATGGTTCTTATTTTATATGGTGATTTTTCCAGTAAGAAGTTAATCATAACAAAATTATAAGTAATATCTGAGTCATCCAGTCAGTTTCATACTTTGAGGGCTGCTTGCTTTACATATGTTTTACTGCAGTAAGAGTAGAATTTATTATTTAATGGTTTTTAGTTTTTATTCTTAGTGGAATAACAGGCCAATACACCTAAATTTCTTTAAGTCTCACTACTGGCACTTTTGAAAGCCAATAGCCAGCCCTTAGGACACAGATGTGTTTTAGTCTGGCTGAGCCTGGACCACACTTTCTATGTGTCTGCCATTCCTCACAAGGTAAACTCCAGTGCACAGTAAGGCTTCATGAGGGCGACTCACAGACTTTTAGACATTCAAAACCTGTACTTGAAGTCAGAGCTGAGGGATGATTTATTGCAGGAGGTAAATAGGAGGAACAGCAACTGGAGGAAGAAAACAGATGAGTGGGCTTGAAACTTATGTTTGAAAGTTGAAAACTCCCTTTTCCTTGCCTCTGGCTGTGTATGGTTCTGGGATTTAATCTCCATGACATCTTGAGACAAGTCTGCTCATGTTCCTATGACCTTCATGCTGCTTTTGGATTGCTGCATTTCACTGAATGCCTCTAATATCCTGAATCCAAAGTTATGAATGACCAGCAGAGAGGTTCCCCATGTCAGTGTTAAAAGTTGGGATTTTTTTTGTTGTGTTTGGCAGTTGGTTTTGTGGTTGTTTTTTTTTAATAGTTACATACTATTTTAAAATACTTTTATTTTCTCGCTCATGCTGTGGAATATTAACAGTCTCTGAGAGTTTGAAATGAATTTTTTATTTTTAAAATTTTTTAGGATGCTTAATTCTAAAATTAAAACTGCATCCTTCATCTATTGCTTTACCTTGTCAGACATTGTTATAAGTTATTCAAAGTTTTGATGCGTTAAAACAAGGAATTTAATTTTCAACCTATTGTAAGTGTATGAAAGATGCTGTCTTCCTCCTCAGTTAGTGGTGAATAACAAAAACAAGCTGTGTTTCATGGTAAAGTATAACCAGCTGCCATTATCAATAGGAACCTCAAGACTGAATTTTCTTCTCATGAGGCCTCTGTTAAAATATGTTGTGTCAGAACATCGTATGCTGCCAGTGATCACAGAAAACCTTGGAAATGGGTTAGAGTTCTGGTTTTCCTTATTTTTAGGGTTCACGTTAAATGTGCCATTTTTAACAACAATAATGAGCAAGTGTGTCTCATCCAGTGTGCAATTTTGGGTACAATTCAGGTGTCTAAGCTCTAAGAAATGGATGGATCCTGGGCCTTTGACTGGGTCCTCTCGAATCATTAACAGAAATCAGTCTATGTGTTCCTTGAGGCAGTTTCTTGTGTTTGCATCCTATATATAGCCATAGTCTCTTTTGCTGAAATTCTGTTGTACTGAGTAAACTATCCTTGTGTAATTAACAGGAAATCTTGAATCTGCATTTGATTATGTGCCATTTCTGGATTCAACTGCATGAGAGAATGGGGCTTATCCATGACTTATCATGGCAGCTCTGCTTTGTGAACAAAATAAACCCAACAAACTGCCAAGAAACACCTGGTCAGAACCAGAATTGACTCTGAGATGTGGAAGGGTAGTGGGTGTGGGGAGAGGGATGTCTCCCCACCCAGTAGCAGCAACGATAGCTACTGAGTTGTAAAGCACAGCCCCAGAGCTCTTCTCACTCTTGGTGACGGGGATTTGAATGGAAGCCAGCCAAATAATAGAAAACAGCCCTGTAGATTTTGAACTAGCTAAAGATGAGAATTTGGCATGGTTTTTCATCACAGTCTGGTAGAGAGACCTGGCTGATAGAGCTGAGAAAAACTCAACTCAGGATGCAGAGATGCATCCATATATCCTCAAGTTCCCATACAAGCCCTGCTACTGAAATGACAAAACTCTTTGCTGTCTTGAATATCTTACTCCTCTAATGCTGTCCTTGCTTTACAGAAGAAGAAAACTAAGATTAGGACGTAGAGCCTTAAAGCACTTTGCCACTCTCTTCTTACTTTTGCATACAGTGCCCACTGTTTACTGTGGGAGTTAGATATCTGCAAGGAATGTATGCATTTTATTTAAATTTATACAGAAAAGAAAGCGGAGGTAAACTGAAACGCTTTTAGTCCCATTGCACCTTCAAGCATAAATACATCTTTTATCTGAATATCTGTAGGGAGTGA